TGTGGCACACAGTGAGGGGGGCCTGTGACAGCGTGTGGCACACAGTGAGGGGGGCCTGTGACAGTGTGTGGCACACAGTGAGGGGGGCCTGTGACAGCGTGTGGCACACAGTGCCCCTCAGTGAACCTTAGTTCTTCCTGTGCTCACAGCTGGAAGGAAGACCCCAGCGGGAGGGAACAGAGCCTCATAGGACACCGTCAACCCCACCCAGTGGATTTCAAAGAACTTCGTGAGCCACCCCTGGTGCCTGATCAAAGTGTTTGCTGCTGGCCATCCGTCCCAGTGCATCTTGGATCCCAGCAGCCCTGGCCCCTTCCTGTTCTCAGAGAGGAAGCAACTTCCTCTTGGCTCCATTGAAACCATCCAAGGCCAAGCTGTTACTGTGAGGTCACTGGAGGGAAACTTGAGTGCTTTTTTTCCCACAAACATTTTCTGTTTCCATGTAACACTCCGAGTGTCTGAGATGGGATTCTCTACCCGGTGCACTGAGTGCTCTGGGACTTAGTGATCTTAGTGTCCCCCAGGACACTGCAGGGGCCTGATCATTGAGCCACTTCCCACACGCCTGGTGCTCTCATACAGCAGACGTCTCAGTCTCCAGCTTATGGCACACTGGAACCCTGCATGTAGCCGAGTCTTCATTCACCAGCCTGCCATGCTCTGGCGACCTTGGGACTTTCAATGGACTTGAATCAATGGCCCACTGTGTGGTTAGTAACATTGGAACTGTGCCTTTTTACTTGTCAACCTTGGGTTTGTCAGCCTCAGCAGCCAGCAGTTGCCAGAGTGAAGAAAAGCCTCTAGCTTCAGTGGGGCGGGAACAGGAGGCAGAGCTGAAGTCTAAGGTTGAGGGGCTTTCAGACAGCCTCTAGAGCCTGGCACTTGGAACTCGGCCATCTAGCCTCCAAAAACTCTAAGAATAAACTCCTGTTTGTTCAAGCCATCTCATCTGTGGTCTATTCCTGTCAAAGTGGCACTAGGGAACCAGAACACCCCAGGTATCGGGTAGCGCTGACCTTACCTACGCCATTCCATCTGCACGGATGCTCTCCTCTCCCCTCACGGAGCCACTTCCTTCCTGGCTGAGCGTGTGGGGCCTCCGCTCGTCCCTGTGAGCTGTCCCACCTCTGAGCAGCCAGGCAGCTCCTGCGTGGCCCGTGTGCTGCCGTGTGACAGAGCTAGGCTACTCACGTGCACAGGCCCAGTATGAGGCTCTGAGACACCTGTGCCGCGACAAACCTCACTGCCCGTCAGCACCTCTGGGGGTGCCCCTCTGTGCGGTCCCCCGACCTGTGCTCGAAGGCCGTTGGGTGACGAGCCACCTACACTCTGGGCCCAGGCTGTCTGCATTTAATGGGCTGAACCAGCAGGGGGATGTGAAGTCCTGGCCCAGCGGGGGCTCCCTTCATCCACTGACCCACAGGACATGGGGAGGGGCGGGTGGCAGGGGCGCCGATGGGGCAGGGCCCTGCATGGCTTCCCGAGGGCTGGGTTTCTCTCTCAGGTGGCAGGGCGTGCTCCGATGGATGAGGTTCCTGGCCACCTGGTGCAGGTGAGCAGGCACTGCGGCTTTGTGTCTGAGCACCCGTTGCCAGGCGCCAGGCCACACAGAAAAACAAAGGCCAAGCTTTGCATCCCAGTGGAGGAAGGCAGTTTGACTGGTCTACCTGCTCAGGTGTTGTGACAACAGAGCCATGGTGACAGTGATGACTGTGTGGACGGCCCCAGGGCCCACCTGGGACATGGTGGAGCTGCCTCTTCTGGGTCTTGTCCTCTGGCCCCTCCCACTCCATAACACTTTTCCCTGCGTCCTCACATGACAACCACGCAGGGCAGACCCTTTGTTGCAATGCCCATCGTGGCATCCGAGGGCTGCTCCAGCCTGGGACAAGCCCCCTTATCGCGGCTCATTCGTGCAGGGCCTGCTCCCGTCTGCCCTCTGAACCCACCCTGGACTTAGCTCCCAGTTGCTCTCTGCTCAGTACAGGACCGGCCTGCGGCAGATATATCAGTAAATACTTATGGAGTGGAGAAACGGAGGGATTTAGAGGTGGGAGGCCTCTAGGCCTCAGACTGGCCCTCAGGGAGGAACAGCCTAATGGTTTATCCTGCTGGCTAGCCAGGTGACAAGGAAGCGCCTCAGGAGGGCTGCCCCCTGAGTAGGATGCCGAGTGGGAAGGGGGACGGACGACCCACCTCTTGGCCAGCAGCTTGTTCATTTCTTCCATGAGGCCGCCTCCTCCACCCCCACTGCTTGCCCGGTTGGGGTCTGTCTTTGAGGTCCCACTGGGACTGGAGCCTCCAGATGCATCTTCTGGCTGAAGGAAAAGGATGCACCATTTAGACGCTGCTGTTTGTGGTGGGACGGGCCACAGTGCTGATGTGGTACGTACATGTGTGTGCGTGTGAGTGCAGACATGTGTGAGTGTGTACGTGTGTGTATGTGTATATATTTATGTGTGGTTGTGTACGTGCATGTACGTGTGTGTATTATGTACATGTAAGTGTGTGTGTGTGATTGTGTATGTATAAGTATGTACACGTGTGAGTGTGTATGTATGTATGTATGTCTGAATCCTGAAATGGCAGTGGAAAAAGAAACCTGGGGGTCACCGAGTCCAACTTCCCAAGAACCCACAGGAATGAGGACCAGCCCCAGGTGAAGTTGGCAGCCACTCTCTGGGCCGAAGGCTGGGGGGCAGCATCCTGTGTGGGAAGTGGGGGCAGAGCTCTGGGGAAGGAAGGAAATTCAAGCCCAAGGTGGGGATCGGAAGAGCCACACAGCTCACTGCAGATGCCCTGCAGCCCAGAACATGTGTGGAGGGTCAGAGGACACTGACCGTGTGACTGGTCCCTGACACAAGGTGGCGGAGGGGAGAGAACAATCCACTTAGGGCAGGAGGCCTGGGGCTCGGGGCCCAAGTGCACCAGCCACCATGCGCTGGACTTGCCCAACCTCCGGCCCTTCACCTGTAACAGGAACGCTGGCGCCTGCCTGGGAGGCAGGGGCTGCAGAGGCGCCACCTCGCAGGGGAACCCCGTGAGTCTCTGCAGCTGGGCTGAGGGTCCGCCCGCCACGCCCGCTGCCGCCTGGGCCCAAGTGCTCACCCTCTGGACTCTCCGCAGCTTGGCCCCAGCCAGGGCGGCGGCCAGTCCTGACACGGAGCTCTCGTCGTGGCTGGCCCCCTGTGCTCCCCCTGCTGGCAGCGGGGGTGGGGGCGGGGGGGTGGCCCCTGTTGGAGGCGGAGGGACAGGCGGTGGAGGTGGGGGTGGAGGCCCGCTACACAAGAGGGGCGCACTGGCTGCAGATGAGGGGTGCCCCGGTGGGAGGATGGGCCCTGGAAGGCAACAGTGGGCTTGTCAGGCCCCGTCCCCACCACCTGGGCTGGCTGTGCTCTTGGGTCCCTGGGCAGGGGCAGCGGGCACCTGTTCCCCAGGGCAATGAGGGCAGCCCTTCCCCGGGGCTGACCCTGGCCCTGCTCCAGGTCCTCCCCATGACCTATGGCTGCACACTGGGTGATGGCCCCTGAGCTCAGCCACCTTTCGTTCAGACCATGCCTCTCCTGTGGGATAGGAGCAGCTCTGTGGACACACATGACTTCTTTTTTTCTTTTCTGCTCCTTCTAAGTGCCTGGCATGATCCAAGACATGAGCAATGCCGGTCCCCGAGATGCAATTAGGACTGACCTTGAGGACTATGGCAGGTAACTAAAGGTCACATGGTCACCAGGTCACATGTCACAGTGCCTGTGATGGGGAACTGAGCTCTTGGGGGACAGCAGTCCTCTGTGCACACTGTCTAGCCATTCTTCCACCTAACAGTGATGGGAGCCCCCAGTGTGGGCCAGCCACCGGCCAGGTGCTGGGACCCTGATGAGGCCAACCACCATTCTACCTATGGTGCTCACTGCTGAATGGGACACCCAATCACACAATCAATGCAAAACAGTAACGGTGACTAAGTGACCAGTGCTACCGAGAGCAGGTCCATGGTGCCATCCTGGCGTGCCACAGGGGCTGAGTGCCACAAGTTCATGGAAGGTGGCCAGTGCTACTGAGCAGGTCCACGTGCCGCCCTGGCGTGCCAGAGGGGCTCTGAGTGCCAGAAGGCCATGGAAGCCTTCCTTAGGGAAGGACTCCTGACTGGACTGTGGCAGGGTGGAGTGAAGGCGGGTGAGGGGCAGTGAGGGGAGACACGAGGTGGAGGGAACTTTCCAGGTGGGGGGCCAGCGTGGCTTGAGCGCTGAGGGGGAGGAGCGGGGCAGGTGAGGACACCGCAGGCTGTGTGTGCTTCTGGGAACAGTCGCGCTCCGTGTGGAGATGGGACCGAGTGGGTGTGTGTTTCTGGGACAGTCGCGCTCCGTGTGGAGATGGGACCGAGTGGGAGGAGGGGTCTGGGAGGAGACAGCATTTTAGGCCACGGCGCCGGGGACGAGCGGGGCTGAGTTTTCTCATCTGTCAAACAGGATCAGTCACCAGCTTGTTTCATGGGGTGCAAGAGAAAGAACCAGGCAAGACAGGCTGTGGAAGCACAGCGCGTCATGAAGCGTGGCCCCGATTCACCGGCCAGAAAACCCTTCCCATTCTAAGTTCCACTCAGGTTCAGAGCCAAGACCAGACGACACCTTCTCGGGAAACCTCCGAGGGCCTCTGGCGCCCTGCACTTGGCTTGGTGGCCAGGTGACTATGTGACAGGACAAGCGTCCGTTCACCTGTCTGTCTTCTTCCCTGGACACTGAGCTCCTTGGGGGCAGGATGGTGTCAGTCTTGTCATCTCGTGTTCCCAGCCCCCAGCACGGTGCCCGACTCAGGGAAGGCACTCCCTGACTGTCAGCTCATGCAGGGCCACAGGGGGACCAGTGAGGTGGGCAGGGACCAGGCCAAGCCGAGTGGATCCCCCAACCCTCTGCCCCACTGCCTGTGCCCGCCCCTTGCTCTGAAGGGACTGCCGCTCTTTGGAGACTACGTGACGAGCCCTCACAGGGCACCAGGCAGGCTGGCAGGCCTGCGGCTGGGCAGGGCCGGCGCAGGTGGGGACTCACCTGTGGCTGAGACCCTCCTCTCCAGGGACTCTTGGCGCTGCTGCTCCATCACTTGTCTGGGAAAGAACAACAGTGGGCTTGTCCGATTTCCCGCGGGCCCAAGAACAATGCAGCTCTGTGCCCAGCCCTGGTGCAGAATCAGGTTTCGGCAGTGCCCTGGAGCCTGCTGTGTGCACCGGGCTGGTGACCCTGGGGCCCCTTTCCACCCACCACGGCCCCGACTCTCAGGGTTTGCTGGCCCTTCCAACAAGGAGAGGGGACGTGACCGGGCCCAGATCCCTAGCAGTGAGTGCTGGCAGGCTCCTGGTACTCAGCGCACACCTGGACAGGGGGCTCAGAAGGTTCCAGGGACCAGCCGGCCAGGTCCATTTCACTCCCTAATGCGGTCAAGCTTTCCCAGGCTGCATGGCTGTGCCTGGCTTTGAGGGGTTGTGGCCCTGGCACACCTGTCCTCACTGCACTGGCCAAGTTCCCTGGGACAATTTCAGGCACAGCTGTTGTAGGGAAAGTGGACACCAGGGCTGCATGCCCTCATTCCTGCAGCCAGGGACTTTGCTGTAGGCCCCCTCCATCTAGAGGGTACAGCCTGGTTCTCACAGAGAGTGGCTTTGGACAATTAAAGCTGAAGCCATCACTCACAAATATGTCCACAGAATCTGGGGGCCGGGACACTGGAGTGAGAGGGTCCTTAGGGAACTCCTAGATGGGGACAGAGCAGGCTTCACTGGGTGGGGAACCTGCTCCAGTGCCCACTCGTGGGCTCATGCTAGAGGCCAGACTGTGATGGCCGCCATGCTGGAGAGGGTGGTTGGGGAAGTCACAGCTCCCCGGGCCCTAGGTGTAAATGAGCCACCACAGGACCAAGGGTCCCTGCCTGGTCTGCCTGTGACTCCTGTAGTCCACAGACCGGCCACCAGGGCCCGCGCAGTCCCTGGGCAGACTCGGCAGGCAAAATTGACGGGCCCTCTGCAGCCAGCTAGCTGGGACACCAGGGCTGTGATTAAGGTAACGCCGTGTGGCTGCTGAAGCAGAGTGGAGAGAACAGCCGAGGCTCCCCGAGCACCTGTCTGCCAGGCACATTCAGGGCTCAGGCCTGGTGGGAGCTCTGCTGGGCCGGGAAGGGAGACAGTCAGACTTGAGGTTGGGCCTGGGCCTGCCGCTAACTCCCTGGTTGCTTTGGGTAGCCATATCCATCCTCTGAGCCTCAGCTGGTTCACCCGAGCAGAAGTGACAGTAGTAAGAGCCCCTATGTGTTAGGGCGAGGGGTGAAATGAGACAGCGTGTAAAGTCCTTGTCAGTTGTCCAGGTCTGTGTGTTCCTATGGGGTCAGTGCACACGTGAGTAAGGAGGCCCCTGTAAACTCCCTTGCAAGCATGTCCCTGCCCATCTGAGGTGTGCAGTGCGGGGGTCATAAAGCTGTCAGAGCGAGGAGGGCCGAGCGTTCATGTCCCAGCTAGGAGGGAGCTAGAGAGGTGTCACTGGGCAGGAGCGGGGATGCTGCTTTCTTGGCTCCTAGGCCGGCTTCACTGGAGTCCAGCCACAGAGCTCTGGAGCTCTCCTCCTGCTTTCTGGAACACGGGGCCAGAAGGGACCGGCCTGGGCCTGGTCTCCCTAGAAGAGGATGGCAGGCTGGGTCTAAGCCCTGACTGGCCACTTCCTGGTGACGGGACCCAGGAGGCCCCTCCTCCCTGAGCCTTGCTCCTTCTCTGAGTTCAGGACCACAGCCCTAGGGACCGTGCCTTCTCATCCTAACATTCTGAAGCTCCGTGGCCCTCCAAACACGTCCCAAGGGATGCCCTCTCCAGAGGCTGGGCTCAGGACGATGGTGGCATTTTCCTGGCCGCACTGGACGAGCAGCTGGAGGTCACAGAGTGCTCAGAGCCTCCATCAGCTTAAGTCCTCAGCTGGGAGGTGAGTGGGCAGGGGGCTCCCTTGAGGGGCAGTGCCACCTGCCCCAGGCACACAGTGGCAGGAGCAGAAAAGAGGACAGGCAGAGTGGACGACAGCCAGGTCGCTCAGGGGGCTCAGAGGAGGAGGACCCAGCCTGGCCTGTTCTTGCCCAGCTCTGGCAGGGGGGCTGTGGCATGTGACTGGCCCACGTTGGGTGTTTGGGGGACAGACACACTTGGCAGGGAAGTGAAATACCATCTTAGCAGAGCTTGGGACACTGCTGGCTGATCACAGGATGTGATAACGTAAGGGAACACCATGGACGTGCAGTCACTCCTGGTCTGAGCTTGTTCCCTCTCCTCGGTCCTGCTGCCCCAGCCCCAGCCAGGTCTCTGCCCACCCTGGCTCTCCACAGCCCTTGCTGCAATGACACCCTCTGCTTGCCGAGGGTGTCCTGGGCAGTGGGTGCTTCCTGGGGGGCTGGCCCAATGGGCAAGGTGTTTGTTACCTTCTCTGGATGTCCATCTCATCGGGAGAGGGGCCATTCTGCACCTGTCGCTGGGTGGAGGGGCCTGTGGGACAGAGAAGCAGGGGTCAGGGGAGGGCCTTGGGCCTTGGACACATGCCTCGTCCATGTCTGCCCCACCTGGTCACAGCAGTGTGACCCCGGGCCTTCCTTACACGCTGCTCCTCTCCCCTGTGCATCCCCAGTCTCTCCCCCTTCTTATGGCTTATCCCTCTGAGCCAATAAACAGGATCGAACTTTCCGCGTGCTCACAAACCATCCCCCTTCCCACACTCCACCTGCCCTTCCTGTTTCCACGCTGCGCCACCTCCTCAACCCTCTAAGAGCTTCTGACTTTGCCAGCCCCCAGACCTTGTCTGGCATCATGCCTAGAGGACTCTGGCCAGTCCCCTCCCTGGGACCGAGGTCTTGCCAGGCCTGTGGTCTGCTGGCACTGAAAGGTCTGAGTCGGCCAGCCTGGGTCATCTCACTGTCCCTACCCTTCCAGCAGCCCAATGGCAGCAGCTGGGGAATGGAGCGGTCTGCTGCGGCCGTGTGGTATGTGCCTCGTTCTCCTCACTCCCTCAGCTAGGCCCTTGCTCCCCAGGGAGGGGCACCCCCAGAAACCACAGCAGCATGCAGCACAGGGAGAGCACATCTTGGCGGCGGGTGGCCCTCCACCTCCTTAAACCGAACACATGGGCAGCTGCTGAATACAAGGACCGTGCCCTCCTGGGGTCCAGCCCCTCTGCCCTCCCGGGTCCAGTCCCTTTGTTTTAGAGAAGGGAACTGAGCCTGGTAGGGTGAAGGGTTTGTCCGTGCCATGCAGGGCATGTGCAGCAGGCAGCATATCCCCACTGTCACCCTGCCCTGGCTACACCTGCCTGGTGGCCATCAGGGAGGACAGGTGAGGAAGAGGCTCTCTTCTCCAGACCGTCTGAGTCCTAGGGAGTCTGGGCAGCACTGTCAGGCAGTGTGCTCAGGCAAGCAGCCTTCCTGCACCCCGAATCATCAGATGCCCACCCGCCCCACCCTGCGTGAGAAGCCTGGGTGAGAAGCCCTGGTGTCCGCAGTGCAACAGGGGAGTGTTGCAGAGCCACACCTCGGGTGAGGGACAGGTTGGGGGCCCAGCTCGTCCCTCCCCCTCCCTGGCTCCTCAGTCACCCAGGCCTGTTAACGCTGTGTCTAACCTCTCCTTTCCATGTGGCGGCCTCAACATCTCACTCTTGGATCCATGGGCTCTGTTTCCACTCCCCCTGCCCTGCCCCCCACAGCCCAAGTGAGCTCTGGCAAACAGGTCTGGGTGCAAACGCCTTCAGTAAGACCCAGGCCCAGCCTGCCCCAGGCTTCCTCCCCTGGGATGCCCCGTAGGCAGGCCTTCTGGTCGGCTCCTGAGCCCCAAGCATGCGCTCTACCCTCTGCTTCTGTGTCTATGCCTCTGCCACCTTACCCTGCCGAGTCTTCAAGGTCCAGCTCCTAGTCACCTCTTCCATGAAGCCTTCCCTAAGGCCCCCGTTTCCATCTCCTCAATGCCCAGGCGCCTCTCGGAAGACGCACAACTCTCTAGCTAGTGTCAGAATGACCGGAGAGGGGGTCTGCCTCCCTGGCTAGACTCTGGGCTTCTAGAAGGCAGAGACCAGGCCCTGGCCACTTCTCATGCTGGGGTCTGGCTCATGGCAGACACTGGGTGTGGCCTGCTGAGTTGGGCTGGGAAGGCTGCAGGTATCTCAGGATCAGAGATCCTGGGAAAGAGCACAGGTAACAGAAGGGACAGGTACAAGTGAAGGGGACAGCCACAGAGCCACCAGCCAGCACCAGACCGGAAGGCACCTAGGTCAGAGCAGGCGGCTCAAGGGTGGATCCCAACCCACTGTTCCCTGCAGCCCTGCGTCCACTGCTGATTGGAGGGGACCTAAGAGCTGGCTGTGGCCACAGTCTTCGCTGTGGGCTCTCTGTGTCACACCTGGCTCTGCACGCAGCTGGCATGGAGTCCCAGTGTCACCTCCTGTGATGGTGTGCTGCCACCTTCCTTGTGGTACATGCAAGGTGGACTTACCTTGTCCCCACGAGGCACTGGTTGGGGCCAGGCAGCCTGCAGTGAGGCACTGGGACAAGTTCTACGGCAGCCCTAACAGCTGGGCCACCCTGCGCTTGTCGCCCATTCCTCACCTGTAAGACGAGGTCACGCTAACAACAGTGGTCACAAGACCACAGTGAGGGCCAAACAGACTCCAGGGACCCACAAGGCTGGGACCACGCTTCTGTTCATCATGAAAACGAATTCTTGGGCTGACCTTCCCACACGGCCCTCTGGACCGAATATGGTTGGCTTGTGCTGTTACAAAGGCACCTCGCTTTCCTCTCTGCAGGGAGCCCGGGTGCCCCTGTGGTTAAGGTTGGTGGTCTGAATCCACCAGCGGCTCCATGATGGAAAGGTGTGGCAGTCTGCTCCTGTGAAGGTTACAGCCTTGGAAACCCGATGAGGCACTTCTACCCTGCCCACTGGGGTCACTCTGAGTTGGAACCAACTCGAGGGCAGTGGGTTTGGATCTTCTTCTCTGCAGCCCTCCACCTGCCCCCTCAGTCCTCAGCTGGCCCCACCACGGCCCCAAGAGGTGTGCAGGGCGGTGGGGCTCTGGCTTGGAGGCTATGGCCTCAGGGTCAGCAAGCCTGTCACGCCTGGGACCTGATCTTGCCAAGAGGGACTCCAACCGAGCAATGCCACCCTTCTCTCACTCTCCCCAACTAAGCTTTACTAAAGCCAAGACACAGAGCCTGTGCATACTGCCGCCGCTGCTGCGCTCAGCTGATCCCTGACTCACAACGGAAAGGAACGCTGCCTGGTCCCCCATCATGCCCTGACCAGCTGACGACTGGGCCGCTGGGACCCGTAGGGTTCTCACTGGCGAAATGTGGGAAGCAGACCAGCAGTCTGGAAGCTCTGCTAATGCCTGTTCAGCATCACAGCAACATGCAAGCCCCCGGGACAGATGGAGGGAATCGAACCACTGAATTCACCACTGAACTACCGCCCTCATTCCCACGACAGCAAAGTGAGCAAGAGAGAAGGACCGTCCGGCTCACACCAAGCAGCCACCTGGGAGAGCTGTCCTCATGATGTTCTGTAGGTCCTGCCCAAGGCAGCAGAGGCAGGGGGCAGGCTGGGCAAAGTGTGGACAGGGACAAGTGGGACTGTGCCGGTGATACCTGTCTGCACACGGACCAGGAGCCAGGGGCAGGCTGGTCTGCTCAAAGCCCTGCTGTCCAGCTCAAGACCTAAGTTCCAGCTGCTGCCCTGCTGCTCCCCTCCCCCCCGTGGATACTGGGGGGCCTCAGGGGAGGTCTTTACTTTTGGGGTTCAGGAGGCGGGAACCACAGAAGAGAAAACACAGTGGAGGAGAGGCTGTGGCCGGGCCAGGCCCAGCCTGGAGCCCAGCTGAGAGGAAGCGACAAGAGGAGGGTGAGGGGGAAGGGAGTAGCCTTGGACGGCAGACACCAGAGGAGGTCTCAGGCGACAGTGCAGAAGTCCTCTCCAAGTGGCCCTGAGAGGGGAGGACCCAGGAGGTGCAGTCTGGAGCTCACTGCAGACGGGAGGTAGGCCAACCCACCCCGCCTGCTCCTCATCTATAAACACGGGTGCTGGTGGTCATTAAATGTCCTTGCAGGGTGCTGAAGGATGGCAAGAGAGTGAACTTGGTACTTGTCTCGCACTGCACTCATTTTTGTCTGTTTCTGCCTCTCACAGGATCTGACACAGGAGGTGGGGTTCAGGAACGGGGTCCTTGTGGAACGGAAGGCGGGGGGCAGACGGAGAGGGAGGCAGCACCAGGCTGTAAGGCAGCCTGGAGGGAGGCCTGTGGGAGGCAGGGAACGAGCCCTCCCCGGCCCACTGGCTGATGTGCTGGGAGATGGGCCAGAGTCAGGATGGCCCAGGTAGGGCCCGGCCCGGCTGTGCGTCTGCAGGAACAGCTCTCCAGCCACATGGCAGGTGAACGTTGCTGTGCACCCTTGAGTCCGTTCCGACTTGTAGCAACCCTGCGAGACAGAGTAAAACTGCCCTTCAGGCTCGTAGAGGCGGCCATCTTCATGGAAGCAGACTGCCACACCCTTCTCCAGTGGAGCTGGTAGTCGATTCGAACCACTGACCTTTCGGTTAGGAGCCAAGTGCTTAACCACCGGGGCTCCTCGGCAGTGAGCACTAGGGTTTAAAGCCCAGACAGGACTCCGGGACAAACGCCTCCACGGGCTTTCAGGACGGAGATGCACAGGGAGCGGGTGGGTGGACTTTACCTCCAGGAAGGAAAGGCGGAGAGAGAGTGGGAGAAGCTGACCACAGACACCCCTGGGGGAAGGCAGAGGAGCCACTGTTGGGGCACCCACTCTAACCTCCCGGTGGTGGGAGGACATCCCACCAAGCACACTGTCTTTTCTGCTGAAACACCCCCAGGAGGACACAGTGGGAGCTGGTCTCAGGGCAGGTGTGCCCCTCAAGGGCTGCTTCCAGTGGTCTGTTAGGACCAGCAGGATGGTCTTTCCAGTGACGCTGGTGGCCTCTGGGCATCTGTGAACCGTATCCTGCCTCCCTTGCCTCCTCCTCGTCCAGGGCAGACAGCCCAGTCCTGCCAGTGCCCCTCCCTGTCTCCAGGCCCTCTGTCCCTGGCTGCCCTCTCCACATGGCTTCAGGCTGTACCAAGCCCCTGCAGAGTGAACTGGGTCAGGAGACGCCAGCTCTTATTGAAGTTCTGCCTTTCATCAGCTAAGTGCCTGGGGGACACTGCCCCCAACCTCTGGGTCTCAGTTTCTATGAGGTCAGAGACTGGAACCGGGGTCTCATTGAGTTCTAAATCCTGACAACGCAAAGGGACGGAGAAGGAAACAGCAAAATGTTAATCGTGCTGTGTCTGGGTAGGGATTCTTTGCTTCTTTGAATTTCCACTTATCCACAATTAGCAGGCATTGCCTTTGTAATCAGTAAGTCCTTGGCTAAAAGTCCCTGTGGAGGACGGCCCTGCCTTGGTGGCTCGGTCCCCAGAGCGTGGTGCAGGGCAGGGAGGGGCGCTGCGGCTC